TGAGTTTGAATGGGTCACTGCTGACCTATTCTCTCAACACAATAAAGTTTGGGTCTTTTAGGCTCCTCCTTACAGGATCATCGGTTCAAGGCTTACAAATCCACTAGAGATCTTCTCGATTGTTCTACACAGCCCCTGGAATTATCCTTGTCGTACAAAAAGGGGTCCAAACACCCAAAAAAAAAAGTTAATACACCAATATTTCCATATCATTTTTATTTTCATTTTTTATACCATTAACAAAGAGCACCATCATCTTGGAAAGAGAATATCATCATGTTGGTATTGACTTGGATTTGAAGAAACGAATTCTTAATGCACATTCTAAACGAGGAAAACAGTTTAGGGTCAATAGTGTTTTAGGTACCACTACCTCACCATTTTCTTTCGATTTTCAAACCTTTGACGCAAAAGTTCCCGTTTACATATCCTCATTCATCTTTGATTTGCTGTCTCACCAACCAATTTCACATGATTTCGGACTCTCAACTCTATTTGGGTCACCCTCCAATTCTCTCGATTTGATTTGGTTCCTCCAAAGTCTCGCAAAATATGACTTCGTTGGTAGGTTCATCTGTTTTCCCTCTAAATTCACGAAATGTATCTTATCGCTCAACTGGGTATTGTAAATCTGGCAAAAAGAGTGTTGGTTATTCAGTCTACGCAAGGAGATTCGTCTGTTCTAGTATGGCTCCTCAGAATTTAAAGCCTGCTGATAATTTTCGCCCCTCCGAATTCAACGTATGAATTTCCTATCCTTGTTCGTCTTCCATTTTATTCGATAACTTTAAGTGTTTATTTGCTTTCTTATAATTGTCACTTCCAGTTTTATAATCGATAAAGCTGTTTCTGAAAAAATTCAGTGGTTGAGTTTACTTGTTCAAAATTTTATCATCACTTGACGCTATTTTAGGTCATCAAAATAGTATAGTATAAGTGGCCGTTTACCAAACCCTCACCGCCCTTACCAATTCCAACTACCTTACCGGATGAATACGGTAAAGACCAAAAATCTTACCCGGCAAGAGCGCAACAAGACCAAGAGTCTTGTAAGTGAGGGCGACGACCGGGTAAATTGTTGCATACGATGTCGTTTTGGTGGACTAAAAGCTTACCCGATAAGTAAATAATAGTGTTAAGTTTTACCGATAAACGCTTACTGGATATGTGTTTGGTAAACGGCCCCTAAGTGTCTCTTGTCCGGTAAGCTATTAAGAGTCACCACCCTTGCTAACTTACTAATTGGGTAAGATTATCTGTCAGCAAAATGGCATAATCACCATCATCTCTAGTTAAAAGTCATGACCCTCACAACTCGGTCAGCAAAATGACACACTAAAATTGTTGGTAAAGACCATCTTTGAGCGGGTAAGCGTCTCTTACTTACCTGGTGAGAAGCAATAAGTGTTTAGTAAACAGACCCTAATATTTGTTACAGGACCGGTCTAAAAAATTCATACAAGAGGTAAAAAAATTGGAACAATAATAAGGATTCAGACATCACATGTTAAAATATGGGCATTTTCCCATCATTTGGTTGTTTAAAGTCTTTGGTGCACTGATTGTGTATGTAAATGGACAAATCTTTTGAAGCAACCGGCAATTTGCACAAGGTCACTAGTCTAGGGTCACAGGAACAGCCTATTTGTAAATGCAAGGGAAAAGAAAACTTACCTGATTGCTCAACAAAGCAAAGGAACCTTGGTGCACCTATGTCATTCTTTTGATGGTGGACATATTGCCATTGATACCGTAAGATCCCACATTGGTTGGGGAGGGGAACAAAAGTTGCCGTATAAGGGACTGGATACCTCCTCTATCAGACACTTTTTAAAACCGTCAGTCCAGGTGTGGGGACAAAGCAGACAATATCTTGTATGGTTAGCATAGGATGTTACAAATACCTTTGGTTTAATTCTTTTTGTTATATGGAATAGAACAAGCTTAAGAAGATAGGAAAACAGCCGGACTAATATATACAACAAATTACCTGTTTAGTATTCTGTTTGTAGAGAAATTTGGGGATCACCAGTTGTGTAATTGTCACTGTTTGTTTATTTGTTTGTACCAGGATTCGTCTTTGAATTTGTTTACAGAAGATTTGGAGGATACAGAAGTGCTTATTGAGTGTAAAGATGTTTACAAGTCATTTGGGGAGAAACACATCTTAAGAGGTGTAAATTTTAAGGTGAAGGTTTAAATTCCTTGCATATATATCTTGAATGCTTCAGAAAAATCTATAGACAAATTTATGTGTATTACTGTAGGTTAACACTTGCACTTCTGCCAAATATGTCTTCTTAAGAAATCATTTTTTTCTCCTTTATGTAGTAATATGTTTTACATTTGTATCACTGTATGCCTTCTTGTTCATCATCTTAAGCCTCAATCACATAGTGCAACTTGTAGGAAGCAAGATTTGTTCTTCGACAACCCATCTCTTTTGAAACTGATGACTGATGCCAATCACCTAATACCATTTACTAATTTCATGTTCGACTAGGAAATACTAAAATGTACAAGTGTTGTAGGGGGATCAAATTGAATGGTAATAGTTCCAGCTCATTGCATTGAGAAAGAACTCATTGGCTAATTAAGCATGATTAATTCATTGGAGACAAATGTTTGCAATGGTTTCCAATCGGTCATCCCTAGGATATGTCCTTTGAATGCTTGTTCATCGCCAAAAATATCGAAGTCAATTTTAAATTTCTATTAATATGAATAAGTTCGTAGAAGAATTTGTTATACGTCCTTCCTTAGATTGCTTAAGTTGTTGGTGCTTGCTTAGGATAACCTAGATGTTTTGAATACTTTGGATGCCATCAATGGTTGTGGCACAACATTTCGTCTTCTGAGATTTTCCTTGGTAACCGTGGGTGCCCAGGCTAGCTTCTCTTCTAATCTTGTGGGACCCTGAAGATAACAACTAGGAAAATCTCCAGTGGGTCTGAGGAGACTCGAACTGGCCGACCCATGGGGAGGAGCCTCGTTGGTCTTCAAGTAGAATAAAGAATTTACTATGAGTGAGACGCCGAACAGGTTTTTGTCCCTATGGAATGAATACTATCCAAGTGGAGGGTTAACAGGTGTCTTATTTGAAGTATATAATATTTATACACGGAAAATATCCATGCACGCTCCTCATTTTTGGTGAGGTTTGAACCCTTGACCTTCTGGGAGGCTGGGCTTTACCAGTAATCTAGATATCGCGGGTCAATGAGTTTTTGGTGGGTTAAGAGGCATCTTGTCTGTGTGCTAGGTGATAGGAGAAGTGTGTTTTTAGTCGATCCTGAAGAAATACACCAAAAATACCAATAAGTTGGCTTTTAAAATGGCTGCTTTGACTAGTTTGTTAAAAAAGTGACATGAAAAGCCTCAGGCACATCTGGTTGATTCCAACTGTGTGCCTCGACTCTAATTGGGAAAAATTTCAAGATCCTTCTAGTTATGTCTGTGCTGTAGAAATGGAAATATTTTCTTCGAAGTTCTTTGTGTGTGCCTTGGACTCATCTTTTTGGTTCTCTTCACACATTATGCTATAGCTTGTTAAGAACCATAAGTGGGATTCATGCAGATCAAGTATGGGGAAGCAGTTGGAATCATTGGGCCTTCTGGCACTGGAAAATCTACCATTTTAAAGATCATTGCAGGGCTCCTTACTCCAGATAAGGTGCTTAAAATTGTATCGTGAAATAGTCATCCAACGGTTTGCATGCAGCATTGTAATAAGCTTACTTCTGTATGCCACTGGTTCTGCATTCAAGCAGGGGGAAGTGTACATTCGAGGACGAAGAAGACATGGATTGATAAGTGATGATGATATGTCTGGCCTCCGAATTGGCCTGGTGAAGTTTCCTTCAGCTACTCATGGTTTTTAAAAATTTCTGGTTGTTTTTATTGGTAATAACAATAATTATTTTTCTGTGATGTGCTATTCGATAAGCAGGTATTTCAGAGTGCAGCACTTTTTGATTCTTTAACGGTTCGGGAAAATGTTGGTTTTCTTTTGTAAGTTTTCTATGCGGATGAACTCCTTTGTAAATGTTCCTCTCCGCTTATTCTAATTTCTTCGCCAACATCCACTCTTGACACATTTTCGGCTTCTTTGAAATTCACAGGTACGAGAATTCAAGAATGCCTGCGGGTAAGATTAAAGACCTTGTTGCAGAAACATTGGCGGCAGTTGGGTTGAAGGTGAGTTAAGAGGCAATCTCATTCTATGTTAATTTCCAAATTTTACCCAGGAAATTTTCTTTAATATGAATATTCAATTGTTTCAGTTGAATACTTATTTCTTCATTCGAGATTAGAACATGAAGTTATAAACCGTTATTCCTCCTTTCTTTCCCTTTTCCCGAATACGACAACATGCATTGTGATGGATGGTTTTGCCACCATGGGTATATGGAAAATGGCTTTGGATGGTTATGTAGTAGTTGAAACCAAGGTTTTAAAAAACGGAATCGTGCCTCAAGGCGTTTTCCCTCAATGAGGCAAGGCATAAGCCTCGAGACGGTCCAAGGTGTAAGCCCCGAGGCGGATGTATATATATGTATAATACAAAATATATATACTAAATATATAAAAATAGTATAATACAATGTATATACTACTATATATATATATATATTTACACAACATATATGTCACAAGATTCTGGACATATATATAATTAAAGTATTTATACAAAATATATACACAAATAATACAATACAATATATATGTGTGTGTATAATATTTAAGCACGGCAAGAATAGTGACCGACAAATTGAGGACACCGATTATATGTATAAACACATACAAAGTGAAAGTACAGCACAATCTTTTTTTTATTGAAGGACGCCGTTTTACTGTAGAAACAGCTGGCCTTTGGGTCGTTGAATAAAAAAAGTACAACTTTTAGGTTCATCTTCTTTCTCTAGAAAAGAACCAGTCGGCTAAACAGAAACCATTAGAGGCCTCCGCTTCATTCAGCTCACCTGAGGCGGCGCCTCATGTTCGGAATCCTAAGGCCTCGCTCCGAGGCACGCCTCGAGGCGTACGCCTCGAATGATTTTGAAAACAATGGTTGAAACATATAATGCTCACCAACTTAGTTGTCAAAATTATATGATTCTGTTCATGAAGCAAACAATGTGAATGTGAGCCCCGTTATACTAAACCAAACAAGCTCAATGTATCCCACGATGAGGTAGGGTCTATGGATTCAAGGCGGATTTTAGAAGACCGGAGAGGGTGCCCCTGCACCCACTCTATCATGATGCCGATCTGGTGGATTTTTTTAGGGGTCTTAAAGGTGCACCCACTTTAAATTGATGTGTGTTCCCTTTAAGTTAACAAAAAGTGGTTGCAACCTACCAGTAGTGTTATTGCATGTGGCATTAGAGGTTGCTAGTTCAAATCCCTTTGCCGCTCTTCTAATTTTTTTGTGACAACAGAAAATAGGAAAAATATAAGGAAAAACTCTGTTGTTGTATGTTGCAAAAAACCAGTTGCTTGTCAATTTTAATGAAATCCTATTTCTTATAATTAATTCTTGTTTTGTTCTATATTATGCTAATTATGTTGTGCTCCGCTTGGAATTTTTTTTGGATCCATCTCTGCCGGGGAGCTTAGGATGTACGCTACCGTACCTCTACCCAAGGAGTAGAGAAGTGGATCAGAATCTTGTCTGATCTACAATAGTATCTGTGAACCTTTATGGACAAGTCAAATCATATTACGGATTCATTATATTTTACCTTATATATCTTACCTTGCTTATGTTGTAGATTTATATATAGAGGCTATTGATCTAGAAAAAGAACTTATATCCACATTAATGGAAAGGTTTTTTTCTGCTTTTTATTGAGTCATAAGAGCATCCAACAGGCAACAGGACAAAACAACGCTTAACATAAGTAGATTTTGGTTTATACCATCACGGGATGCTTTTTTTTGTGTATTACATTTATACACAAGCCAGGGGTCTTCATGAAAACAGCCGCTCTACTCTTTGGGATTGAGGTCAGATCTGCGTACATGTTACCCTCCCTAAGTTCCACCTCTGGGTGGAATATGCTGGGTTTGTTTGGTTGGGTTTGGCTTATGTTTATACCTGTTATTTGAGAAACTTTTATGTGAATCTGAAATTCGTTTCAATTTTTGATTCATCATTACAGAACTAGTCTAGTTATGAGTTGATTCATGAATGACAACTATGCTCGGAATGTGGTTGCTCCTTTGTTGAAGTATCTTCAATGGTTAAACACCGTTTTACATTTTACGAGTTTCTATGCTATCTCACGACATTTTTTTGTTTTGTCTTCTTTTGTATTGGTTGGTGGTGTGCGCATGTTTACATTGGAAGGTTACACGTCACTTTTTTTGCTTATGCCGTCATTGTACAGAATTTTTTTACCAGTTGACTATTGAAGTTTTATCTGATTTGTTCTGAACTTGCTTTGGCAGGATGTTGAGGACCGGATGCCATCTGAGTTGTCTGGAGGGATGAAAAAAAGAGTGGCTTTAGCACGATCTATAATATATGATACAACAAGTAATACTATAGAACCCGAGGTATGTATACCAGTTCTCAAGTATTTAACTATTTGGAATCCTTTTCTTTTCCCCTCTTGATAGATTGTAAATTCTTAATCGCGCACATGGAAGATCTAGAAGAATAAAAAACAAATCAAACTAACCCAGTAAATCCCATTTTTAAGTATGGTGGGAGGTGGGAATGTACACAGACTTGGCGTCTACCCCAAAGAGTAGAGCAGCAACATCTAGAAGAATGTAGTATGCATATATTCAAATTAGTACACCCCTCCATCTGTGAAAATTGGATCATCTCATTTAGCATGTAACCTGAGAAATCAGTTTGACTATTTACAGAAGTCTAAAATACCCTTCAATTAAGGCCAAAAAAATCTTGTACAACCATATCAATTTATTTGTAGATGATAATAATATGAAAATAAGTAAATTTAAAAAGTTCCCAAGAAATGAAATGTTGCAATTTTCGTTGTGCAACTCAGAAAGGGAAGTGTTGCAACTTGCAATTGTGGGTGGGACATTATTATACAGAATCGATATCATGGAGGAAATTCCTGTATTCAGGCTTTATCCAAAATAACTAATCTCCTGTTAGAAGTGTTCAAGGGACAAGTCTGTGGTATGTAATCCCTCCGCCCCAAAAATAGATGTCCGCGATGAAAAATGCACATAGCTTTAGCATATAATTATTACACTTTTTTGTTAACTGAATTGATACCTTTACCCTTGATAAGTAAGCACACAATTTTAAAAATGTATAAGGGTAAAGTTAAGAAAAAACCCAACAAACTTTCTCATTTTGAATGATTAAGCCCAGAACTATTTTTTTGAATAAGAAAACCATTGAACTTTTTAAAAATTGGTTACATACATTCTTTTAACCCAAAAAGGCACTTGTAACCGGCTAGGAATGTTTTAAAGTAAAAGAAAAACCTAAATCTGTTTTACAGTTCCCAAACCTTATGTCATTCAAACCCCTAGCCACCTCTCGCCGCCCCATCGTTGTCCGCTCCCTATTACCGCCCATCACCGCCATTGGCCCCTGTTCTCGATCTCCCTCCTTTTGATCGGGTTTTTTGTTTTTCAGTTCTCCCTCTTTTTTGATATATCTGTAGGTTCTCCATCAAATTGTTGTAGAAGAGGGATAATCGAAAGACAAGAAAAAACAGATCAAAAAGAGGGAGATCGATGGCAGCCGTTAACGGCGGTGATGGGTGGTATGGAGAACGGACAACAATGGGGCTGCGAGGGGTGGCAAGGGGAGCAATTGGGTGCGAGGGGTTTGAATGCCGTAGGGTTTGGGAATGGGAAAACTGATTTAGGTTTTTTTTGGGTCAAAATGGTGTATGTAACCAATTTCTAAAAGTTCGATGGTTTATTTATTCAAAAAAAGGTTCAGGCACTTGATCATCCAAAGTGAGAAAGTTCAATGGTTTACTCGTTCAAAAAAAAAAAGTTTAGGGACTTGATCATTCAAAATGAGAAAGTTCGTTGGGTTCTTCTGAACTTTTCCCAAGTGTATAATTATTCCACTAATGAATTTCTCTTACTCATCAACACTTTAAAGTATTCTTACATAAGGGTACAATCAGAAATATGGTACATTATAACTATCTAATCTATTTATGAAAGTTGACACTAATATTGGGACGAACTTAAATAGAAACGTGGGCAATTATTTTGGGACGGAGGAAGTATTACTCTGTGTCTTGTGTAAGTGCTAAGTGTTGCTGCAATCTTGAGCAGGTTCTCTTGTATGATGAACCGACTGCAGGACTAGATCCAATTGCATCTACTGTAGTTGAAGATCTGATCCGGTCTGTTCATTGCAAAGGTGAAGATGCACTTGGGAAGCCTGGAAAAATCGCGTCTTATGTGGTTGTAACTCATCAACACAGTACCATTAAAAGAGCTGTCGACAGGTTGTTTTTGCTTACCCCAAACAAGTTGCCATTCGTATTTACCTCCATTCTCCATTTTCTTTTGTTAAACTTTTCATAACTTCTTTTACACAAAATCATATTCTACGATCCTGTTTACAATCTAAGGGTCCCTCACTAGACCCTTCATGTTGTGGAACTTACTGGGTTCGTTTGGTTTTGGTCTTTTTATCCATTCTGTGGATCTTGTCTCAATTCTTCTTACATCAAATAAAAGGCACCCACCATCATATCTTCATTTTAACTCGTACCATTGAAGACAAAATGAAAATCTCAAATGTCAAATGGAGCAACGTAATATCTTCGTTTTTCATGAATGGTATTGTGTTTTCAGGTTGGTGTTTCTTCATGAAGGAAAGGTTGTATGGGAAGGAATGACTCAAGAATTCACTTCATCTACAAGTCCAATTGTTCAGCAGGTAATCTTGTTTATTTATAATTGGTGAAGTTATGGGAAAATGAAATATGGTTTGGCCCTCTTTATTGTTGAGTAAAACAAGTATTAGCTTCATTTTTACTTATTTGGCCACTAGATGTCATTTTCCGATCAGATTATGTCAACTCATCTTTTTTGAGGCCAGACACTTGCACTTTATGGCAAGAAAATTAGATTGGGTGCAAAATATGGTTGGAAGATATGTATAGTAGCCAAATAAATAGCTTTCATAGTACGATTGTAAAATAAGTAGCTTTCACTACCTGGGGTTTTCACGGAAACAACTGCTCTACTCTTTAGAATAGAGGCCAGGTTTGCATACATCTCATTCCCACCATCACAACCCTATCTTCGTGTGAGATATATTGGGCTCATTTGGTTTGCTTGGTTTATATGATTGCCAAAACTTATTTGACTAGATGAAACGAATATCTTCTTTGTAAAGAAGGAAGACGTTATGTTTTCACCTTGGCATAACCGAGTAACCTTCGGGGCCATTTGGTTCATCGCACCGATGGAATTTGGGGTTTTTTATGAAACTGGGTTCCTTCCCTATGAACCAAATTTGATACCTCAGATTTTATTATCTCAAACACTTAGGCAAAATGCGTTACACAAAATAAGAATCTTATTGAAGTACGTTACATTTACATACAATCTCAAATGTAAGCTAAATGTTTGAGAAGTCATATCTAAGGTACCAAAATGAAGGTATTGAAAGTATGTTGCATAAAATAGGAATCGAATCAAAGTATGTTACATTTTTCATGCAATTTGCACAATAGAAAATGGGTGACAATAAAACGGGAGAAATTTATGATCTTTAAGTCTTTAAGATTGCTGTTGTTGTATGCTTGTCAGTTTGCCTCTGGGAACTTGGATGGGCCCATTAGGTACTAAGTCGGTACGCAATGATTACATAGAGCGTTTCTTGATCTTCGAGGAATTTGATTAACTTGGAAGAAACTCAAGGAAGTTGTGGAAATGGATCCAGGAAAAGATGAGAAAATTGGAACCAAGTAGATATCCGTTTGTGCCAGAATTCTTCTGAGTTTTGACAGTGAACTCAAATTAATGAAATAGAAGTTTCATTCTTTTCACTATCATCTAGTTTGTGATATAGAATGTTAAATTCTTTTTCATACAGTTGTCTATCTGTAAACATATTGTTCTCAGTTTCATATTGGTATGACTGAGTAATAGGATGAGGGTCTAAGGGCCCACTAGTATCTGGGTTGCCGGTAGAATCCAACCTAATTGGAGATCAAAGTTTAATCCTCACCAACGTGGAGTTTATGTAAGTTTTTGTCGTATATAAGGAATTCTTTATGATTGAGAAGGAAGTCATAGGTGCATATAAGGACTTCAGTTCATAAATCATAACCATTGGACTTCTTTCACTTGAAGAAATGATGTATTGGAACTATTGTTATGATCTTATAACTACCGAATGATCGACTTGCCTTCCTCTCTCCTTTTTGTTTCGCAATTTAGTCGCTTTTAGTGGTGGCCGAGATTGAGAATCTTAGATGGAGGAATTTCCTCCTGTTTACGTCCTGTTTGTTCAATGAAAATGGGAAACAGAGTACAAGAATTTTACAAGATTAAATTTTGGATTGGGTCCTGTTTGCCATTTTCAATGAAAATGGTTACTAATCTTCATTTATTCTTATTTCATCCCTTACAGTTGCAAAATCCAAACAGTTTATGTCCCTGTTAGTTTTTAATATTGTTACCAGTTAAATGAAAGTCATTTTGGTTAATTTTACCCATTTCTATAATTTTCTATTAAAAAATATATAATAATGGAGGATCATTTCAACTTGGGAGGAGAAAGGTCAGATCACATGTGAGACAACACGTCCAAAAGGACGCGGGTGACTTGGTCAACGTGACAAAGGCTGTGTGTAAACTCGTCCGCTTGGAAAATAGAAAGATTTGTACAAGTTATACGTTTTGTCACCACTTTGTGGATCTTATTTCCGACAAGGACAGTTGACAACTAAATCTGATTTTTTCCATTATTTTCATATCCGTAATAGTGCGAAAACGAAAAGAAGGCCTCTGGATCAAACTTTTTTTTGTCATACTCGTTAAGTTCCTATTAGTATCTATGATACAAGTTGGATCCTAGATGTAGAAATCCTTGTGATGGGCTTGGAAGGGGGGACATGTCAAGTATCGGCTTGGGACCATGTCTTCTTAGGACTATTTATGGCTGGTGAATGTGACGTGTTTGTTTCACATGTGATTTAACTCTAGAAAGATGTGTGATTTGACCATTCTCGTACTTCTGACAAGTTGATCGTTTTCTTATTTGAAACCACCCCTTTCTCTCTATATATATAATATTATAAAAGTAACCTTCAACCCCACCCCATCCTCAGAGATGCATACACTTTCTCCTATATTGAATTCTAACATGAGTTTTAAATGTGGCTCATACATTTTCTCCTATCTTACTAATTAAATTACACACGTGATTTTGAAGTGGTGTTTGATGCTGTTGTTTGCTTACAAGTAGACAAATCGTTTGACTAATTGCAATTCAATTTTGGATGAATTAATGAATTATGTTGGTTTTAAGTTACAGTTTGGCCTGTGATGAACTACGTTAGTTTTAATTTATGCCTATCTTTTCCCATGAAACTTCAAGTTCCGGGTTTGAACATCGGAGTTGAGATTTTGGGTTTGGAGTTGGAACATCGGAGTTGAAATGTGGAGTCGAACCATCAAAGGTAGAACACCGAAGTTGGAACATCGCATTTGAAACGTTGGTACCGTTACTAGAAAAATTGGCCGATGGGATAGGGGATATTGTCACATATCTCTTGACGTTACAATTTGTTTTGTCATAAACTATGATATAATAAAATTTATATAACAAATATAAAATTAATTTTAAGATAAAAATCAATATTCTATATATTATTAACCTTTAGGATAAAATTAAATCAAAATGGTTAAAAGACCAAAATATCGTCAAAGTTGACGATTGATATTACAAAATTAGCCTCAGGAACGAATTACAGAAAGATATTTGCAAAACACAAGAATGAAATCGTAATTTCTAAAATTTATTAAACCAAAGGCTAATAATCAAATACCCAGCTATTAAATTTACAACTCCTATTTCAAAGCTAACAAATTAGTTCAGAAGTAACAAAAAAACACGAGCCTCTTTAGGGGTCATCGACCACCCTTTCCTGCCATCCTTGATACCACATATTGCCAAAGGGTTCAAGGATCGTAAAGCAAGGACTAAATTCATGTTTGGATGAGAATTTGTATCTTTATTTTTAACGAAGGAAGCTTGAAACCCTGGCTTCCTTCAGCCCTCGTTTTCTCTTCCTTTTCTCCCAACTTTTAAAAAATTCAACAAAGGTAAAACAATATCTCTCAGCTGTCTAGCCCTTTGGACCTCATGAAGTACCTGATTAGGGTTTTTGCTCATTGCATAAGTTTATATATATCCCAGTTTAATTTTGAACCACTATTAATAGGTTGACTTAATTTCCTATAATTCCTTTTGTTTCCAAATTCGAGTAACCCAATAATTTTCTTAAATAATGAATAATCATAGCTTTCAAAATTGACACCTTAGGCCCTTTGTCCATTTCTTTATTAAATTCCTACCCTTAAATAATTATTAAATCATAAATTTTAGGGTGTTACAACTATTGTGTTACTACTAAACATTTGGCAAGAGATTCATTATTGAAGAATATCTCGATGAATTTGTTTAAAAGAAAAAAAGAAGCCACCTATTAAAACTAATATTCCTTACCTATTTCTAACCCTCGAGATCCATAATGAGATGTAACACCTGTATTTTAAGGAATACAATTGTGGGATTTGATCAAACTACCTTTGGCATTGAGTAAAACATTGTGATTTATGGAGTTTAATTGTACTTAAACGCCTTGGCATGTTATAGGATTAAAAAGGTAGCGATACTAGAGTTTTGTGGGCATTCTGGAGCTCCATATGACTTGACACGCAACCTGGGTCATGGCTTAAGTCGCGTAACACACTGGAGGCACAAATAGAGATCCACACAACCCTCTAAGCGATGTGGGTCGTTGGAGAAGTCGTATGGGGCACTGGTGGCACGTGTGCGACTATCCATCCAACCTAGGATATGGCTCGCGTCTGGTGCAACTTAAAGCCCTTTTGGCTATGGGTTTGTTGATTTATTCCCTTCTCTTCATCTTCTCTCTACCTTGGACGATTTTGGGAGCTTGAGGTTCGATTTTGGGGTTATTGAAGGTATGTGTTGGTGATTGTTAGGCTTCTAAGAAGCTTGAGGGTTTGGATCTTCTAGTTTTTGCATCAAAAGAGCTAGGATTTGGCCATTCTTCATCCCCTACCGTTTTCTCTCCTTGTAAGGGCTTAGGGGTGGAAGAGGAAGTCTTTGGGAGCTTTGAGGCTCGGATTTGGGAGGCTTGTTGGGAGACTTCAACTTCTTTACCAAAGGAAACTCAAAATTTAGATTGGATTCTAGATTCAGTATAATCTAGCAAGGTGAGTTCTAGTTGCTTTGAGAAAACTATATACATGTCAAAATGTCCTTATTTGCGTATTAAATACATTTATATGGATTTTCTACAAATACATGTTGGTTATTTGTTTTTGTACCTTGGGTGCATTTCGTGTTGAAAATATTTGAGAAATGCTTTTAAATAGTATATTAATTATTTTGGGACATAAATCATATGAGTTCGTTCATTTAGGTATTTATTATAAGAAATGAGTTTCATTAGACTTTAAAATGCTTTGGGACATGAGTTTGCATAAATACTACGTAAAAGTGTATTATTGGCTTGTTGTGGCTTTTATTGAGTTGGCCAAATAGGTTGTGGGTTTTAGTTGGTTTGAAATTGATTCAAATGAGATTGCGTGTATTTACCCGACCTAAATTATTCAATAGCGATATTGTGATTCACATGTATTGCATATTTATTAGGAATTACATGTTTGAGTTTGTTTATCATTCAATTCAGATTCATGTAATTTTGAGTCATTTAATTTGGAGTTTTAATGATATGGATCTATAGGCATAAAAATCGATCATGTTTGGTAAGTGGGGAGTTTTGATATTCTCACTTTATGACTAGTGCTTGAGTAGGCACTATGGTCGTCTCTGTATTACAGAGGTTGTTAACCGCATTTTTATTCATGTCTAATGATAGTTTTGCATTGCATTTCATGTGCACTTTTGTTTGCATTCATGCATTTTAAGCATATTTTTGCTTATTTTCTCTTTTTATTCTATTGGGTTAGCTATGGGTTATCTTAAAGTGATTTCATGCACTTTGGGTGGGATTTTTGTATATTTTAAGTGAAAAAGTGGTAGCTGAAGCTAATGGACCGATCGATGATTGTGAACTGGACAATGTCAAGTATGATGAGAAGGAATTTAATGAAGATTTAGAGACGGAGAGGAATGAAGAGGTCGAGAAGGTGAAAAAGAGGAAACATGAAGATTTTTGAAGAGGACGACCATGCTTCCTTTACGCATACGACCATGCCAAAAAACCCTAAAGTTGTTTTCAATCTTTTCACTAAGCACGAACTTTTCAAGGTGCGATCATGCTTGTCGATAAGGAAACCTACGATTTTTTTTTACTTATAGTATTATTTTGGGATATTTTCGTTACTCTATTTAAAGCCATTTTTCCTGGGCTATCTTGAATATTCAGAAAACACGATATATTTTACCTATACTAGGGTTGGCGATGTTTTCCATAGGTTCTAGCCATCTTTGATTTTTCTGCACATTGAGGATGAAGAACTCCTTGGGAACACCTTAGGAGTTGTTCGGTAACAACTAACTGAGCCATATAACATATATGGTTGATTCGCATAACCATATATATGTGTTCCGTAAGAGCTTAATCGCTCACACAAGGGCTGATTTGTTCAGCTAGAAAACCACTCTCTTAACCACTCGGCCATTAAATTGTATTTACTTTCCCCCAACTACCCTTCTCCCGAACTACTCACATTAAATCCATCTACCACCATTAATTGAAAAAAAACCCTACCACCATTAAATAGAGACGCAGACTTCTTCCAGGCTTCCCCATCGATCGGTTCTTCCAAGCTTCCTCGTCGATTGCTCCTGCTCCATCGTTCTCCAGATCACAGGTATGTTGTTCTCCCTTCGATTTTTTTAACAGCCACCATATGTTTCTTCTTCGTTTCTTCATGTACATCCATTATTTATTAGCCCCTATATGTTTCTTCTTCGTTTTATTCATCATCTGTAAGAAACTTCTTTCAGATTTTCTTTTTGTTTTTCTCGGCTGCTGCCATTTTTTTAGTTGCTACCATTTTTTTGAAATCTTATCACTTGCAAGAAACTTCTTTTGTTTCTTCTTCGTTTGATCCCATCAGCTGCTGCTAAAAAATTGCTACCATTTTTTTTGTAATCGATGAGTTTTAAAATTGAAATCGATATGTTT